AATAAAGAATTCTGAATTTAATAATAAAAATCATTAAATAATGATATTTAATAAAATAAGTTAATTTAATAAATTTACACTGTTAAACAATGATATTTAATGATCTATATCATTAAATAATAATATTTAACAAATTTATACCATTAAACAATGTTATTTAATGATCTATATCATTAAATAATAATATTTAATGATCTATATCATTAAATAATGATATTTAACAAATTTACACTATTAAATAATGATATTTAATAATCTATATCATTAAATAATGATATTTAATAATCTACACTATTAAATAATGATATTTAATAATATTCATAATTAAATAATGATATTTAATGATATACATCATAAAACAATGATATTTAATGATATATATCATTAAACAATGAGATTTAACAATATATATCATTAAATAATGATATTTAATAATATACATCATTAAACAATGATATTTAACAATATACATTATTAAACAATGATATTTAATGATATACTTCATTAAATAATATACATCAACAACTCTGATATATATCAATATATATCAAATATCTGTTTGATATGCATTGACAACTCCAATATATATCGATATATAACTAATGATAAAAATCGATACAAATCACTCCAAAAAATTTCCTGATGCAGGCAATGTTCGGTAGTTGCTAAACAAATTGCTTTTGATCGAAATGGGAAATGCCTTTCTAAAGAATATATTAATACCTATTCAGATTTATTATGGAAATATGCTAATGGACATTTATGGAATGCATCACTTTGGAATATAAAAATTAGAGGCACATGGTGTCCCTATTGCTCAAAATATAAACGTGAAAATTTATGCCGTGAAATTATAATCAAGTATCTTGGTCCATCATCTGAAAATCGCAAGCCAGATTTTTTAAAAACATCAGAATATCCAACTGGGCTACAACTTGATATTCCCTATTATGATTACGGTTTTACTATAGAAGTTCAGGGGCAACAACATGAAAAATACATCGAATTCTTTCATAGAGGAGATCCCGATAATTTTATCAAACAGCAAGCACGAGATCAACTCAAGAAAGAATTGTGCGAAGAAAATTGGATCGTTTTAAAATATGTTTGGTACTACGAAGACCCATATATAGTTATCCCAGAGCATCTTCGAGAATTGGATCTTATTGAGTAAAATTAAAACTTCAAATGCAATTTGTGATTGGGCACACGCAAATTACTGACACGTTATCATTATGCAAAAAAATTACGTTCTACTTATTTATTATTCACATTACACATATACATGGTTAAGTTATGATATTGTATAACAATGGTATTTAAGTTATCAAAAAATGAGGTTGCGACTACGGAGACAATCCACATGCATTTGGTTAAGAGTGCAGACTAAAACTAATGACACATGATTCGGGGAGAAACTAGTTAATTTCAGTTATTTCGTGGTTCTCGCTCTTTTTGTAGCCAGAAACACCTCATTTCCATCATCAGACAAATTTCGTTTAACGAGTTGAGTGCTCGCCTCATGGTAATCTTCATAATGTTTATTTATCCGATGGTATCCCTTTGCAATCACAGAATTCTAGAAAATATTTGTAATAAATGAGTTTAATATGCATTCGCAAGCAATAACAGAATTAAAAAACTCGAACCTTTGCGATTTCTATTTCTTCTTTTACAACTTCTTTCTTGGTAAGCATTTTTGTTGATTTCGATATTTTTCTTCTATAGGTCTTTTTTATTTTTCGTGGCATCTGTTTCGCCTGAAATTAACAAATGTGAAAATAATTATTGAAAATATTAAAATACAAAGCATATGAATCAGTTTGGAAGATTGCACTTTTGGAGATAAGGACACACCCAATCTCACGAGGGCGCACCTCGCCTCACAAGGAGACACCCTGCACCAAGATTATAATCTAAACTTTTATTCGCTAAAATGCAATCAGACACGAAAATCAATCTGGAATTAGCCTAAAGATTAGACTAATATACGAACGAGGATGCACCTCGCCCACTAAGCACACAGCTTGCCTACAAGCACACAGCCTGCGTAGATTGTCGGTCCTCAAACTATTTCTTTTTCTTACATAAAAAACAGTATCACCTTTAATTGACCCTCCAACTGTGAAAGGCGCATTTGTGCTGGATGTTCGTCTGCAAACAGCTTTCGCAAAACCTTTATTTCCATCTTAAACGAATTATGAACACGACCTTTGTTAACATCACGTAGATGATTAGAAAATTCGTTGAGGCCTGGCCATTTGGTATAGTGACAGTTCCAAAGTTCTACCAAAATATGAAAAATGAAGACATACAGTATACTTTACAAACAAGAGGATCTTACTAATAAATGATATATTTGCAAATCTTTACCATAATAACGGAGGAGCTCAGAGGCAATCTCAGGCAAGTGAGCGTCAACTTCTTCAGAAATCGATATAGGATTATGAGTCTTTTCAATTGCTTTGGCAATTTGTAAATCATGTTCAGCGTTAACCAGATCATGAGATTGTTTATTAATACGGGTAGCTTCGGGTAAATCATTTTCGGGCAAGTGAGTGCCAACTGAATTTCTTCAGAAGTCGAGATAGGATTATGAGGGAGTTCGTTAATACACGTCTTTTCAAAAGCTTCAGCAGTTTCTGGTTCCTGGAGAGATGCCGATACTAGAGATGGGGATGTAAGACAATAAGTATTTGGGAGAAAATACGGCCGTGAACTTACCTTGTACTTCACCGTTAAGTGCCTTGATCAAAAGTGCTATGGTTCCGGCTGGTCCGCCGAGAAGGTTATATGGAGGGGCTAAAAGCTTATCTTCTGTCAAGGAAATGAAAACTTGACCGGCGACCTTATTTTTCTCAATAATTTTTATATCTTCGTCATCCAGATCCATCTCATCCTGCTTGGACTTCAAATATTTAAGAACGTCTGACCGCTTCCACCTCTTAGCGACCTCAGCTGACGGACATAATTATTTGTTATTTATGAAAAGAAAGGTATATCATTTATGAAAAGAAAGTGTATATCATTAAAAGAAAGTGATTTTTTTTATTTTTTTTGTAGACACAAATGACCCACGATCATATGATACAAACCACGAGTTCACATAATTACATTTATTTCGGCCGAATTTAGTTAAAAAAATATTATTGACCAATTAACTTTGCTTGATGCATTTTATATCTCATGACTAATTTCTTTACTAAATTACTATCTGATCTGTAAACAAATCGAAAAACATGTTTTCTAATAATATTTACAGCTCGAATCTTTTTTGCTGTTTCTCGAATATGTTTAACTCTATTGATAAGATTTTCTATTTGTAATTCATATCAATAAATAGCTAATCTTGTAAAGATATCATGTCCAACTTCTGGTTTTTGCTTAAGCTCCATATATTCTTTGAAGCTAATATCACAATATTTATTTCCAGTACAATTTGTATGCCAATGTTTCTCCATTTTATAATTGTGATATAATTCATATCCTACTCTTTTATTGACATAAACAAATTGATCACAACTAGTGATGGAAGCTGTAACTAGCCGTAACTCTGTCACAATTCTCTGATTGACTGCTGCAACTCTGTCATAATTCTCTGATTGGCTGTCACAAGCTGCAATTAGCTGAGGAGCCATCTTTAATTACAACTATAACATATTATTATATTTACTTCCAAGATTATCTTTCTATAAATATTCCATCTTTCTGATGATAATATATCACTTTTTATCATCAGTCAAATGATTATTATTCTTATAATTCATTAACTGATTTCAGATTTATTTCATCTAATCAGATGGAATTTTATCTTTATGGATTACTGGAAATTGATAGTTATCTCTCTATTCAGTATCACTCAAAACTGAATATTTATTTGTATAGATTATATTTAATAATTAAGTAATTTAATATATTATATATAGTATTTTTGCTGAAAATGATTACAAGATAACTAGAAATTATATGATTTATATAGTATTTAGTAATTTAGATCTATTAGATTTGATTTGATATATATGATTAAAATCAGATTTAATTTTAGTATAGATAGTTAAAGAGTATCCTATAGGATCTGGATTATTAAATAAGTTATATATATTCATTATATTTTGTGAGTAATATATATGATGAGAATAGAAGAGATATATATAAATCTAAAAAATTTATTTGTGATAATAATTATGTATAAATTGCTTATATAATATGAATATATTGTGTATATATAATAGCAGAGCTAGTATCTCTGATACATATGTCTATATCTTTTTTATATTAATAAAGTGAGTCTAGTAAATCAATTTTATATAATTAATTATATTTACTTTTGCATATGTATTTCAGAATTTTATTATATAATCTGCATATAATTAAGAATTTCTTGACAAAGTAATCAGCAAGTTCTTGATTATTAGTCAAAATAATTTTATTTTCAAAATTTAAATAAATCATATCTTATATAAAATAATAGGAAATATCAAATCTAAACTAGATCTATTGAAACAAGAGAATATCAGACTTTTAGCTAGAATTACAGAATTGAAACAAGCTGTAAAAGAGAAAGATGAACTTATAGCTAGAATTATAGAATTAAAGTAATATAAAACAGATACTATAGATCTTAAAATTGAAAATATTAAGTTTAAAAATAAAATCACAAAATTAAAATAAAAATAGTTCTCAACTTATTTAGAATTGCCAATCAATTCTCAAATTTAAAGGAGTGATTCTGAAAATATATTTGATAATATATTTGACTTCAAAGTAACTATCTCTAGCAATTCTGATATATATCAAGAATTAAAAATCTTTGCATCTCATATCTCTGCAAAATCTAAATCATTAAAAGAAAAAGAGATCAACAGTTTCTTATATGAGAAAAATAAAGATAATATTAGTAATATAATAAGAGAAAGAAACTGAAAAAAGAAGCTTAGATCTTAAAACATATTTTACAAAAATAATAATTTGTTAATAGAAATATCTAAAATGATTGTTATAATAGATAAATCATTTATAACAATTCAAGAATCTCTATTACCTATTATTCAGATACAAAATACCACTCTTTTCAAAATAGTGAAAGCTAGTATATTGATGCTAAAAATACCATATAACCAAAAAATTAAATAGGATATAATTCAAGAAATAATCCTGTTTATTTAAAAAGAAAAATTACTTATCTTATCAGATAAAAAAACATTATCATTTTGTGAGACTAATATTTCTGAAACTTATAATAATAATATGAATTAAAATTGATGAGAGTTAGTCTAATTATTTTCTGATGCTGAGATTATAGAAGATAAATAATAAAGACTAAACAAAAAGAAGTTATATATTGATATATTTATAGGAAAACTTATCAAAATAATATTACTAATATTCAATCTAAAACTGATATTTTTAAGAAAACTATAAAAAATCAAGTATATACTATGATTAAGACTTTTTTACCTAATATCTCAGAAATAAATTTATATAAAAAGACTCAAAGATCTGGAAAGATTTATAAATTATTTGAAAAAATTACTGATTCTATAACTAAAGAAGAAATTGAAGAGATTGGTATTGATAAAATTTATAAAATTTTATATAATATAAAAAGTATATCAGAATTAACTGATACACAAATTATAAATATTATAAAACAGGTTGTAAAAAAATATATATATAACTAAAATTTTACTAATGGTGGATATATATATATTTCTATTATAGAGTAATAACTCAAAAAGTCTACAGATTTGAAAAAATTATCAGAAATAGTTTTAGAAAAATTAACTAAGATAAGTATATTTACTAAATTTTCTACTTCTGATTTATCAAAAAGTCAGATAAGTGTATTAGCACCCTCACTATATGAGAATAAAACCCAATTTCTAATTTCTATTTTATCTGAAGATTTCAAAGAGAAATAAAAATATATAATTAAAATAGTATTAGAAAAGATTTCTAATTTATCTCTTAATTATAATAATAAAAATATCAATTATTTTACTTATTTAATATTATGTTATATATGCAATAAAGTTTATAAAAAGAAGAATTTAAAAGATAAATAGAATAATAGTAATTATGTTAATATAAGAACTTATTATCTCAAATATTGGAAAAATAAATATCAGAATTTAATTCAAATAGTAATTGTAAAAGCTTAGATTACTCTCATAAATCTTTATATTATATGTATAAATTACAGCTAATAATAGGATTTATTGCTGTGCATTAGAATAATATGCAGATATTAATATCTGTAGATAAACTTTATTAATACTTTATGCTAAAATATTTACATAGTTAAAATTTTCTGTATAGATTATAATATGATATTATAATATCATATGATTATAAATAAGCTAAATATTACAAAAGTGAAAGTTTAGCTAAAATATAATCTATATCATTCTGAAAAATACTAAATAAGATTATTACTGTAAAGTTCTGAATTTGCATGATCTTATCAACTCTAATCTCATTAAATAAATCATAAATCTTTTGATCCTGCTCTTTTATTTTTTGAAGTATATTCTGATTAACTAATAAAAGTTTAATTCTAATCTTATTATTAATTAATACCTGAGTCATATATTTAGAATTATTTTTTTTATAGTGATTAAATTATTTCTTGAGTACTTTCTCAAATAGAAATAATAAAGAATAACTTCTTATATTATTTTTTTACTAATTTCTTTGATATTAATTATATTTTGATACAAAATTAGAAAATTAGTCAAATTCTCATTCAATTTAGATATTGATTTAGTTAGTAAAGATTTTTGTAAAATATTAGTTTCTAATTCTTTAATTAGTCTTTGTAATATAAAAAAATCTTTTTTTGAAATTTATTTTTTCACTTTCTTACTGAATAGTTTACTGGTAGATTTATCAAGATACTTTTTCTGAAATGTATCTTGAAATATTAGAAAATCACCATCAAATAATGCTAGAGATATATTTATTAGATCAGTAATATATAGACTTTCAGGTATACTCTTGATCATAATTTTTATCTTCTTCTTGTAATCAGATCTTGAATATTTTTTGATGAAATTTTCAATATAATCATGATGATATATATGATCATAAATAAGTATGATAATCAGATTTTTTATTTCATACAAAAAAAGTTCTTGATTGTATAATAAGCATGAATCTAGTTCTGAAATATTTACACTTGCAATCTTTTCTGAGAATGAATTTTGCAAGATATTTAATATAAAAGATTCAAGAGATAAGATATTAGCAGATATAGTGAGAAGTATAACTAGATAGTAGAGTTAGTATCTCTGACACATAAGTTTTCTATATACTTAATTCATTTTTTATATATCATACTCCTTATGATTAACAAAATCAATTTTTAATATTATGAAAGCCAATTTCAGATTTGATAATCATTAATTATTTCAGCTTAAAATCACTCAATATTTATAGAAAATCATAGATAGTTTTAGCTAAAAAGCAAAAATTAGTATTAATTTTACAAAATAGTGATGAATTAACTTAGTCTCTTATAATAATTCCTAGTTTATATATCTCATAATAGTAATCTCAAATAAAAATATCCTTATTATCATATATTATTAGAAAAAAAATGGTATAATACAGATAATTAATCAGACTATTACTTTGTAATACATATTACATATTATATCACAGAATAAAATCAAAGATCATAGAACTTTTTATCTATAATGCAATCATACAATCTGTTACTATGACCAAATTTTCAAAATTCACATATCTAAAAAATTAATTACATAATATAAATATTTGATTAATATATATCATATAATAAATTAAAAGATCATGAAACTTTTTATGTATGATATAATTGTATAATCTGCTATTATTACTATAAATTCCAAATCTAATTATCTAACTCATAATATATGTGAAAAGTTTTTCATTATATATATTTATATAATAAATACTCATAGGCTTGTATTATTCTAGTTCCACATTCTCTGAATCTACTATTTTTAAATCTAAATAAAATCAGAAATAAATAGAGAGAGCATTTTAAAAGAATAGTATATTTGCATTATAATTATTTATTTATTTTTTTATTTGCAATATAACAAAGCTTTTATTATTTTACACTTGACTAATTAATATATCTGCTAATTTACAAATCAAAATTATAATTTTTTGATCAATGTCAAAGAGTACT